AATGACTTGTTTTAATGAATATTTTTGTAATTTTCAATCCAAATAGAGTGGAGATTGAAACTCGCCAAGTGCTAAGATTAGATACCTGAACACTCGACACAAACCAAAATCTGGCTCTTGGCGATTAACTTAAGAGAACATGTACTGATCCTTATGACATGACGATGGCTTGTCAGGAAACGTATGGTCGAATGCAAAGTAAAAGCGCTTATTAATATAGAATGGAGAGAAGATGTCATATTGTTTCAAGTTGACAGCTCACACAGAACAGTATAAAAGTGTATGTGGGCAAGATTTTGGCATGAGCCGAGAGAGTCCCAAGTGGATTCCGATTAACTGCCCTAATCCCTCTGTAAACATGAACGATTAAAAATGTTTGGCTCCTGCTGAGATCACAATCGGGAACATATCTAGTATGAAGCATCACATAAATGAAAACTTACCACTTCAAACTTAATGCTGTTTTTCAATCTTTACAGACCATCCTACTGAGAGATAAACAACAAAATGATTACTGTGTTGCATGTAATGAACTTGATACTGAACATGCTAAGGATAACCCAGGTAAATATGCACTCTCATTGTGACTTTATTCTCAACTTGAGTTGTTTCTTCAAGCAGACATCTAAAAACAATGTCTCACTGATGAGTGATGCACTTCACTTCAACCTCTCTTGACTAACAAAGTCAAATTTTTTCCTTCATCAACTTTTTTGTTTGATCTTTAATTTGTATTTTAGTTCTAAGCTCTGAGGCAGCAAAGGTACAGGCTAGAGAATACTCTATGCAATCATCCACTCAATCAACAGAGAGATCTAGTGGTCCTTACGAGGTGTTACAGAATCCGCAACAAGAAGACGTTGCTCATCGAGCAGCTCCTGCAAACATGAACCCAGTACGGCCACAGCTAGCCAGTGGTCAGGCTGCAGCCAGCACTGTTGAGTCCAAGTCATTGATTGATGATTCCATTGATGCTGTCACGAGTAAATTGGCCTGGGCCAATGATGAACTGGTTAAGTCCTCGTCATGTGAAACCTGTACACAATTTTGTGTGCTCATTAAGGCTTGTGCAGAAGCTCTGAAAGCTTTAGAACATGTTGCTCCCAAGTCTTAGACAGTATTTATATCAGGCCTCAAAGAACAATCCTGAATCTGTTCCTTCAAACATTGCTCTTAGCAGCTTTGTACTTCGGATATTGTACTATTTGATGTGAAAATATCTCTTGTCCTTTTTAAAAATATTACACGTTTGTTTTTTGCATATACACTTTTGATGAAACTAGGCAATGTAGTATTTCCTCTCTGCTAATCACTATATCATATTATTTTTGGTTGTGCTCAGAAGTGCAAGTAAAAGTTAGAATCCAAAAGAATTATCTTCTCGTCCAAGGAAATAATGCAAAATGATGTGGTGATACAGTTTCAATGTTGTGTATTAAGATTATTCAATGTATGTACAAAATGTATTCTCTATGTTTAACGCTTGTTAATCATGTGTTAAGTAATATACCAGTAACTCATTATTGATTTGAAACAACAAATGCATTCTCTGGAACAAAAATATAAATGGTGATGGTTTTGTATAATCCAATTTTATTTTTGGCACTATTTCACCATGTCAATTGACAAGCTTGCCATTTAATTAGGTATGATTGTTAACACACATAGCAAGGCAAATACCAGGAATTTAACATACATGCATCCTATATCTGCTGTCTATGCTATGTTGAAAACTGTGTACAATCTAGCCTTCACATGTGTATCAGAGACAAAGTGGTGAGTGTGAAAGAATGATGTCACTGTGAAAATGTAATCATTTATTTCATTATTTTGGTATAATATTGTGCATCGTGCCATTGCAATGCTAATTGTTTTGCAAACACAGAATATCTAATAAAATATCAAATGAAATTATTGTTTGTTTTTTACTCCAGTGAACTGTAGGACAACAGGAGACCTAAATTTATCATCTATCTATCTATCTATATGTCTGCCTGTCTGTCTGAATGTGTGTGCGTATATGTGTGAGGGTCACTTCACTTTGAAACAATTTTTATTAGTCCCCGTTCGGTCGAAGTCCGAAAACGGGGACTTATAATTCGGTCTCCGTCCGTCCGGAGTCATATTCCAGAATCTTTTGGGTCGATTCTGTTCATTCTTTGCATGTGCCTGGTACTTTATGTGGGACATATGCACATGCAATTGTTTAGCGACATGATTCAAAATGGCCGAGTGGTAGGCATCTTGTTTTTTGAAAATGTTGTATTTTGGACATGCTCTGTCAGTTTTCATTCAAACTTGGTACATAGCATATACAGGTTAGGATACATGTCCATGACAATTTCCTTTGCGATTGGATCAAAGATGGCCAACTGGCAGGCATCTTGTTTGTTTTTTTTAAATGTGATATCTTGGACATGCTTTGTCAGTTTTCATTCAAATTTGGCACATACTTTATACATGTTAGAATACATGTCCATGACAATTTGTTTCAAAATCGGATCAAAGATGGCCGATTGACAGCCATCTGACTTTTTGGCCTTACTACTATATTTCCAAGATTTATGTACCATTTTTATTCGTATTTGGCACATACATCATACATGTCACTTTGTTTCATAATCAGATCAAAAATAACTGCTGTTTTTATTTGTGGCCATATTACTATATCTCTGTCACCCATGTATCATTTTCATTGATATTTAGCATGTCATAAATGGATACATGTACATGTCAATTCAATTTGCAATTTGATCAAATTTGGCCAACTGGCGGCCATCTTGTTTGTTTAAAATGTGATAACTTGGACATGCTTTCACTTGTGATCTATGTTTTTCTTTGCTATGTCTTTAACCGGAGGGGTCGTCACAAAACGCATGTTCGAATTTGATGTAAATAAACAATCTGTTGTATACACCACTTGGGACTCAAGTTTCAAGGACATGCTCTGGACAACCCCTCCAATCTGCCCCAGTGTCGTTTCACCTGAATGCTGTTTCGTCTTGTTAATGTTCACAAATAAATGTTATGGGTCATTTATAATCGACAGCAGGCCCGTAGTTTGGGGGGGTTCGGGGGGTTCGGTTGAACCCCCTAAATTTTGGAAGTGAATAGATTTATGATCGTAGATTAGAACGTAATAAAACAAACAGTATTAACTAAAATAATTATTATCGTTTAAATCACTTGACTCAGTGAGGTAACTATCAGATTCCGTCGAAATTGCACAGTAATGAGCATTTAGATGACAACGGGCTTGAAATGTCAATCGTGAAGTTACGCCGTCTCAGTTCAACAGCAGCCAATCAAAACAGGTTGTTATAAATGAGCAAGCTTTTATTCGGTGAATCCACGATGGTGTAATGAAGATCGCGTTCAAGCAGCTGATGTTAAATATTAAAGCAACATTGAAACAATAATGTAATGGTAGTCACTCTCTGAGGATGTGGTGGTCCTGAATAGGTCGTTTGTCTTGTCTTGTGGTAGTGTTCGCTCAGTTAGTAAAGTGTGGGGTTCGAACGGGATTGAGACGGCAACACGACACTGTACTTTCATATTGGTTC